CTGAGGGGAAAAGTGGTGATTGTTATTCTGATGGGAGATGGGTGGTGGAATGGGGTGTTGAGATATTCTGATGGGGTATGGGTTATTTGATGGGAGATGGGGTGTTGAGATATTCTGATGGTATTGTGGGTTATTTTGATGGGAGATGGGGTGTTGAGATATTCTGATGGGGTATTGTGGGTTATTTTGATGGGAGATGGGTGTTGAGATATTTGATGGGGTATTGTGGGTTATTGGGGTGGGGTTGGTATTCTGAAGGGGAAAGAAGGGTATTTAAGCTCTGAAGGGCGAGAAGGGTGCTGAGACATTATGAAGGGGTAGTGTGAAGGGTTATTCTGAAGGGGAGACTCTCTTAATTACATCTACTGTATAAGAGGTAAGGCTTGACGAGGAGTATTGACGGCTCCTGCAGTAGTACTCAGGGTTGTCAAGGGCAGCTGAGAGGAGGAGGAGGAAGGAAAGAAGAAGAAGGAGGAGGTGGAGGAGGTGTGTTGTTATGATGACAGAAGACCGATTGATATCGCTTTATATTATACTGGGTGGGGCGGAGGTGAGGATAGAGAAGGTGTTATTGACTGATTCTACTGTAGTCCCCCCAACCACCACCCGGAGCAACGACACTTATTACTGTACCTGGGTGGGGCTGAGAGGGACTAGGGAGGGACTGAGAGAGGCTAAGGTGAGCTGAGAGAGGCTGTTGAGGCAAGGAGGACTAAAAGGGGATGAGAGGGACTGAGAGAGGCTAAGGTGAGCTGAGAGAGGCTGTTGAGGGGCTAAGGAGGACTAAAAGGGGCTGAGAGGGACTAAGGAGGGACTGAGAGAGGCTAAGGTGAGCTGAGAGAGGCTGTTGAGGGGCTAAGGAGGACTAAAAGGGGCTGAGAGGGACTAAGGAGGGACTGAGAGAGGCTAAGGTGAGCTGAGAGAGGCTAAGGTGAGCTGAGAGAGGCTGTTGAGAGGCTAAGGAGGACTAAAAGGGGCTGAGAGGTGCTAGGAGGGGCAGACATCCTATCAGCAATTGAAAGGGCAGAGTGTGAGAAAAAAATTTGTTTTGGGTCAGTCACTGCAGATTATATTGTTGGCTCCACACACACACACACACACACACACACACACACACACACACACACACACACACACACACACACACACACACACACACACACACAGAGGGGAAAAGGATTCGAAAAAGACTTACATTGGCATAACCTGCTATTTTGGTTGTGGTAAAAATGAGAGAGAACGAGAGAGAGAGAGAGAGAGAGAGAGAGAGAGAGGGAGAGAGAGAGAGAGAGAGAGAGAGAGAGGAGGGTATGCCTATTTAACCTGTCGTTCACTTATTCAAAGGCCAGATGGCATTGACAAGTGACACTTCATTGTGGCATTTGGGAGACAGTGCCAGCGGTCCGTATTGTCCCTGGCACTGTCACTAGTGTGTGTGTGTGTGTGTGTGTGTGTGTGTGTGTGTGTGTGTGTGTGTGTACATATATACCACACATACTGGAGGAAAAGGAGCGAAATGAATGAAAGAGAGATAGAGAGTGAGATAGATAGAAAGAGAGAGAGCGAGTAAGGGAGTGAAAGAGAGAAAGCGAGCGAGAGAGACAAAAAGAGAGAGAGATATATAGAGAGAGAGAGGGAGTGAAAGAGAGAGAGCGAGCGAGAGAGAGTGAAAGAGAGAGAGAGAGAGCACACCCCCTTCATAAATCACTCAATCAACCACAAAAACCACTCCGTATTTTATGAACACCCTTCACTAATCTAGGTCACTAATCCTCAATGGTGCCTAAGTTAAATTTTCCTCCTAACTGAAGCCGTGAATGTGTGTCTGACTGGTTGACTTAAGATTTAACATGAAATTAATGATTAACATGATTTTGAATTTAACAGTGAGACTCTACCTTAACTAGATACCTTTACTTAACACACCAGTTAGGAGACAAAATTAACACTGAGACTCTACCTTAACTAGATACCTTCATAACACACACCAGTTAGGAGACAAAATTAACACTGAGACTCTACCTTAACTAGATACCTTCACTTAACACACCAGTTAGGAGACAAATTTAACACTGAGACTCTACCTTAACTAGATACCTTCACTTAACACACCAGTTAAGAGACAAAATTAACACTGAGACTCTACCTTAACTAGATACCTTCACTTAACACACCAGTTAGGAGACAAAATTAACACTGAGACTCTACCTTAACTAGATACCTTCACTTAACACACCAGTTAGGAGACAAAAATTAACACTGAGACTCTACCTTAACTGATACCTTTACTTAACACACCAGTTAGGAGACAAAATTAACACTGAGAACTCTACCTTAACTAGATACGTTCACTTAGCACCAGTTAGAAGACAAAATTAACACTGAGACTCTACCTTAACTAGATACGTTCACTTAACACCAGTTAGGAGATAAAATTACACTGAGACTCCACCTTAACTAGATACGTTCACTTAGCACCAGTTAGGAGACAAAATTAACACTGAAACTCTACCTTAACTAGATACGTTCACTTAACACCAGTTAGGAGACAAAATTAACACTGAGACTCTACCTTAACTAGATACCTTCACTTAACACCAGTTAGGAGACAAAATTAACACTGAGACTCTACCTTAACTAGATACCTTCACTTAACACACCAGTTAGGAGACAAAACGAACGAATCTTTATTGAACGAGACGATAGCTTCTGCTCACGTTAACTGTGCTAATAATTTTACCTTGTTTGTTTTGGTCAGCCTTTGAAGTCCATCACTCAACCTCCAACTCAAGAGAGAAGAGAGGGAGGAAGAGAGGGAGGAAAAGAAAGATAGGGAGAGAAAAAAACGAGAGGGAGTGAGGTAGAGGGTGAAAGAGTGAGAGAGAGAGAGAGAGAAGAGATGAGAGAAAGTGTGAAGGGAGAAAGAAAGTGAAGAGAAAAGAGAGAGAAGGAGATGTGGGAGAAAGTGAGGAGAGAGAGAGAGAGAGAGAGAGAGAGAGAGAGAGAGAGAGAGAGAGAGAGAGGGGGGGGGGAGTTATATCTCCCCAGGCCACCATATTTTCTGATTGGCAATATGACCATCAGTTCAGCTACCACCCCCGTGTTGATGCTCTGCTTATATCTATCTGATTGTATAGCCTTCCTCACACACACACACACACACACACACACACACACACACACACACACACACACACACACACACACACACACACACACACACACACACACACACACACACGAGAGTAACAATCGGTCATTTCCTTTTCTCTTCGTCTCTAAAGGGATAAAAAATGAATAAAGGAGAGAATAGGAGAGGGGGGAGAGGGGGAAACTGGTGGCCCAATTTTCTGAGGGTAGTCATGGCGCCCTTCCCTCACTCCCCTCACTCCCTTGGGGATTGTATTTACCCTCCTTTCTTGTTGTGTTATTAATGGTGATTGTCTCTCTCTCTGTGTTAGTGGTCTGTGTGTTCATTATTTCTCTCTCTCCATCTATCTTCTTCACCTCCTCCTCCTCCTCTTCCTCCTTTCTTCCTCCCTCTCTCTCTCTCTCCTCCTCTTCCTCCTCCTCCTCTTCCTCCCTCTCCCTCCTCCCTCTTTCTCCCTCCTCTTCCTCTTCCTCTTCTTCCTCCCTCCTTCTTCCTCCTCCCTCTTCTCCTCTTCCCCTTCCCTCCTCCTCCCTCCCTCCTCCTCTTCTTCCTCCCTCCTCTCCCTCCTCCTTCCTCCCTCCTCCCTCTTCCTCCTCTTCCTCTTCCTCCTCGTCCTCTTTCTCCTCCCCTTCCTCCTCCTCCCTCCTCCTCTTCCTCCTCTTCTTCTCCCTCCTCCTTCCCTCCTCCCTTCTTCCTCCTCCTCCTCCCTCCTCCTTTCTTCCTCCTCTTCCTCCCTCCTCCTCTTCCCTCCTCTTCCCTCTCCTCCTCCTACTCTTAATCACTCCCCCTTTCCTTACTCACCCTTCACACACACACACACACACAGGTAATGACCAGCACAGACACGTCAGGTATCTCTTAATTAAAGATAATATCATAACTGGCATCCCTCTTACCTACCCTTGACACGTGACGTCATCCAGAGAGAGAGAGAGAGAGAGAGAGAGAGAGGGGTTAAACAATAGGCCGGACATTGGAGGAGATAAGTGGTGAGAGTACAATAGGGGTATCGGAAAACGCCTCTCTCCTCTCTCTCTCTCTCTCTCTCTCTCTCTCTCTCTCTCTCTCTCTCTCTTTCATGTTGAGTGTATTGATGACCCACCTGGTGAGGACAGTACACAGACAGTAAACATAGGGTAACTTTGCCTGCTGTTGTGAGATGGATTCACCTTATTAACTCTCCTCTCCCTTCCTCTCCCTCTTCCTCCCTTCCTCTCCCTTCTCTCCCTTCCCCACCATCGCCTATAGAATATATTTCGTTCTTCCACCATAAAACCAGTTGATTTCACTCTCACTACTCCTAATCCCACCCTAACCTACCCTAACCCACCCTAACCTAACCCTAACCTAACCCTAACCTACTCCTAACCTACCCTAACCACTCCTAAGATAACCTAACCTACCATAACCTAACCCACTTTCCTCTCAAGCTGTAAAGTCAGCTTAATTGTATCTACCATATGAGCGAACCAGTGGACCGAGGCACGAGGAGGAGTACTGTAGCCACTCAGCCACTGCACCTCTGGCTATGTGGCCTTGACTACAGGTTTAATTCAAGGTAGAGGTACAGGTAGAGGTACAGGTAGAGGTACAGGTAGAGGTACAGGTGGAGGTGCAGGTAGAGGTACTCCTGGTGCTGGGGTTACAGGTAGAGGTACAGGTAGAGGGTACAGAGGTATGTGTAGAGGTACAGGTAGAGGTATTCGTGGTGCTGGGTTACAGGTAGAGGCAGGTAGAGGTACTCCTGGTGCTGGGGTTACAGAGGCAGGTAGAGGTACAGGTAGAGGTCACATAGAGGTACAGGTAGAGGCAGAGGTACTCCTGGTGTTGGGGTTACAGGTAGAGGTGT